GACTGCAACAGTTGTAAGATGTTGAGTGATCCTCCAGCATTATTTTAAACTTCCATGGAAACATTGTCATCACATCATGATTCTGATTTTTTTCATAGCTGGAGCTAATTTAAGTTGTTATTACTCCCTCATGGCCAAGCTTTGGTTACTCTATAGGCAGACCCCACAATGCAAGGAGGACAAGGCAGAAGTACCATTAAGAGAGCTGCATGAGATGTGATAGTACAGAAACTGCTGAGTCTCATCTTTTTTCCTATGATCTTTAAAGAGCCTTCATCTCTTTTCCTACAATCTTTAAAGAGCCCTTCCTTTATATTTTTTACAAGTATTTGGTACAGTGTAGTTACTTGGTTGGCTACAACTTTGAAGTTTACATGAAAAAAACAACCAGCTAAAGAGAAGTCAGGAGCAGGGAAAACAAGTGGCACCAGCAGAGGAAAATGGATACACAGTACACATGCTAGAGAAGAATGTTTTTATTCTGTTCTGATTATACACTGTGGACACATGGCATGCTTTCTTGAGGGTTTTGGCCTGGGCTGCCTTCTAGCACGAAGCTCTGGGAAGATGGTGGGGGCCAACCTGGCTTCCCCTCACTATGAAGTGACCTTAACAATCAGGCTTCACCCATATCTTACTGTCTTGACCTTTCCTCCAGGAGCAGGATTAGGATTTCTGGTCACCCACTGCTCATGGGGCAAGATGAAGAAAAGAAATCCCTGGGAGACAGTGATGAAGATGGAGCTGCACCGTGGGAGTGTCAGAGGGGAGACAAGCCCCTGAGGAAGTACCTTTTAAAGCAGATCTTCCTGTGCCTGCTAAAAATAACAACATGATGGGGAATCTCAGCAACTCCATAACGGTGGGAGATGTGCTAAGCCTGCCCAGGAGGAATTTTCCCTTTATTACTGGCTAGGGAAAGCCAAGGATTTTACAAACGCAACATGAAATCTTTCAAAGGCTCTAGATCACAGCCTCTCATATTTGACCATTCTGAGGTACATTTCTTTTCTTTCTTTTTTTTTTTCTGAAGCGGAGTCTCGCTCAGTTGCCTGGCTGGAGAACAGTGGCGTGATTTTGACTCATTGCAACCTCTGCCTTCCTGGTTCAAGCAATTCTCCTGCCTCAGCCTCCTGAGTATCTGGGACTACAGGCATGCATCACAATGCCCAGGTAATCTTTATATTTTCAGTAGAGACGGGGTTTCACCATGTTGACCAGGATGATCTTGATCTCTTGACCTCGTGATCCACCTGCCTCGGCCTCCCAAAGTGCTGGGATTATAGGCATGAGCCACCGCACCCGGCCTTGCTCCTATTACTCTTAAAACAGACTGGCAAGAAAGTGTAGCAGGCTGTGGGTGGCTACTGCGAAGGCTTGTCAGGATGCCAAGCAGGTGGCAACTCTATGGAGACCACTTAGCTCTAAGTGCAGGAAGAGGAGCTCTGTGTAACTCCCCAAAATTGCTCCCATTTGATCTGTCACCTTCTGCAGTCTTGGTCCTTTTCTCTGTATGGGCCAATTGCCCCCTGCCTCCCAAGTGAGGGCTTCCAGTACCTCCATCCACTATTCAATTTTAGTCCAGCTCATTGGTTGCTAATGTTGCGTTAGCAATATACCTGTTGCATATTTTGTTTATTCCTTGTTTTTGACAAAAGAGCATGTGTATGTGGGCTTTAATAGTTTTTGTTGTTGTTGTTTTGTTTTGTTTTTTGTTTTTGAGACAGGATCTTACTCTGTCACCCAGGATATAGTACAGGGGCGTGATCACCGCCCACTGTAGCCTGGACTTCCTGGGCTTCAGTGATCCTCCCACCTCAGCCTCCCAAGTAGCTGCAACTACAGGTGAGTGTCATAATAATTAGTTCACTTTAAAAACGTTTTTTGTAGAGAAAGGGGTCTCACTATGTTACTCAGGCTGGTCTTGAACTCCTGGGTCAAGCAATCCTCCCACCTGGGCCTCCCAAAGTGCTGAGATATTACAGGTGTGAGCCACCATTGAGTAGTTTTTAGTGATAAAATATTTAACCCCTGCTTGACCAATAACAATACTAATAATTAACACTAAACTTTATTATAGACTGAATTGTTTTCCCTCAAAATTTATATATTGAAGCCTTAACCGACACTGTGACTGTATTTGGAGACAGGGCTTTAAAGGGATAATAAATGCTAAATGAAGTCAAAATGCTGGGGTCCTAATATAACAGGACTGGTGTCCTCATCAGGAGAAGAAGAGACACCAGGAGTGCCCATGTACAGAGAGAAGGCCATCTGAGGACGCAGCATGACGTTTGTCAACTTTAAGCCAAGGAGAGGGACCTCAGAAGAAACCAAACCTGCAGACTTTCAGCTTCCAGAATGGTGAGAATTGATTTCTGTTGTTTAATCCACCCAGACTGTGGTATTTTGTTATGGCAGCCCTAGCAAACGAATCAAGCCTATACCGTGTGCTTGATTCTGCTAAGTGTGTTACATGCATTATTTCAGTTAACCCTCAAAACAAGTCTATGTGATTAACCCCAGTGTACAGACAAGGCAGCTGGCAAAATAAGTAAGTGCTGAGGTTTGAACTTAAGTCTGCTGACTACAAAACCCTGCACATAAATTCACACTACACTGCTTCAAAAGGAAGTGTGTGGCCCCAGATGCTCTCAGATAGGGGGTCACCTTTTAAAATAGATCTCTCAGGATGATTTGTTGCTTGCTAAAAATGGAGTAGAGCAGCAGATACACTCTAGAGGAAATAAAAGATCCAGATTCCAGCCCTGACTCAGACACTGACTGAGGGATTATAGTAGACTGAACAGCGGCCCCATAAAAAATACGTTCAAGTGCTAATTGCTAGAACGTGTGAATATCACCACCTATGGTAAGAGTGATTATCACCTTATACGGCAAAAGATGTAGTTAAGATTTTGAGAGGAGGAACTTATCCTGGTTTATCCAGGTAGGATCAAAATGCCATCATCAGTGTCATAATGAAATGGGAAACGTTCCCTTGTTTCCCTTGCAGGGTGTGGCTCTGATGCCTTGGTGTACTAGGATCATTGGATCACATATGGGCTTGGAGAATGAGTGCAAGCCTTTATTGAGTGGAAGTAGCTCTCAGCAGATGGGGGAGGCAGTAGGGAGATGGTTTTCCCCTGGAGTCAGGCCGCTCAGCAGCTCAGGCTCTCCTCCAAGAGCCCTGGCCAAACTCTGTGTCATTCCACCATCGACGGCCTGCCGGTGCTTGTCAGTGTGCTCTGCATGTCCTCTCAATGTCCAGCCACTTGCGTCTCTGCCTGCTAGGGTCTCAGGGTTTTCATAGGCACAGGATGGGGTTGTGGAAGGAGAGGGTGTTCTTGGAAAATGTAACATTTAGGAAGGAAAATAGAAATGCCTATCCTCACCTAGGTCTACAGGCACAAGCCCAGGGGTGGAGCTCTTGCCAGGGTCCACGCCCTTCTCTACCCAGCACTTTTCTGCCCCCACTTATGTATCAATAAGAAAGAGGGAAATAACACAGACAGAAGAGAGGAGAAGGCAAAGGGAAGACAGAGAGATGCAGCCACAAGCCAAGGAATGCCAGCAGCGCCGAGAAAGGCTAGGAGAGGCAAGGACCCTTCCCTAGATCCTCCAGAGGGAGCCTGGCTCTGCCAACACCTTGATTTTGGCCTTCCAGCCTCCAGCACTGTGAGAGAAGAAATTTCTGTGGTTTAAGCCCCCCAGTTTGTGGCACTTAGTTACAGCAGTCACAGGAAACTAATACAGAGACTTTGGACACATCACTTACTCCTCCATGAAATAAGCATGTGGGTAACGTGGATAGTTTTGGCTTGGGTGCTTGGTTACTGTGCTTGAAATTATCCACTGCTGGAGTCACCAAAACTTTACAAAGTTTTGAGGTTTGAGCATCACCCCAAGGTACCTGAAGCAGAACTGCTTGGATATGGGCTCAGAAAACAGAACCTATAAAGGGTCTCCAGATGATTCTAATGGTGCCTGGGGTCAGGCCCCGGTTTCTGTGTCTAGACCCTTAAAACTCTGAGGGTCTGTGATTCTCACTAAACAAAACTCAGCATTCCCTGTCGTCCCCTTCTTCCAAAGCTTCAAGAAACAGTTTGAACTTTCGGGCAAGGAGAGAGACAGGACTTTCCAGAATAGAAATGGATGGTAAGGGAGTCCTTCCAGGACTGCAGAGGGGAATGGAGAATTTAGGGAGAGAGGGAGGAGAACAGCAGGGCAGCGGGTGGAAATGAGAACGCCTGGGAGGTCTGGGGAGCCTTCAATAACATTAGAGCGGACAGCGGACAACGGAGAGGGCTGCGGGGCCAGGGGAGGCACCTGTGAAAATAGCAAATACTTGAGCCAGAGACGGTACACATCCTGCCCTGGCTCCTGCAGGTTTCCCGCAGAGGCAAGGATCACAGGGCCAGGGTGATGTGTCTCCCACGATGTCAGCGTCCCCGAGGGCCCGTCAGGAATTTGACAAGGGAACCCGCTTGGGGCTGCAGTAATATCTGAGGAAGGCGTATGAGAGGGATAGAGGGGGCGAGAGTCAGATCATCATTCCCAAAGATATGGCTTTAACCTCTGCCCCCTTCTGCCCTCTGGCTCTGGGAGACCCGGAGAGCCAAGAACCTTCTCTAAAAGGGAGGGGAGCGGTGCGAGTGTGGGGAGGGCCTCTGCCGGCGCCATCATCTCTCCTCCACCACACAGCTGACAGACACTTGAGAACTTTCCTTCCCAAGCCCGTATCCTGCTGGTTCAGGGCAAAGTGTGCAGCTTTCCCACCAGGATCAGTGAGGAAATGGCCTGGTTTGGACTCAAACAGACTGATTTGTTTTCCCAAGAAGGCCTCCGCTCAGTTCAGGGAGCCCCAGTGATGCCCATTTTTCCAGGGTGCCTCTCCCACCCGCCTCCCCCTCCCCGCTCCGAGAACACATCACCTAGTGTCTGTAGGGCTTCTGCTTCTTGTTTGACATCCCTTATTTACAAAGCAAACAGAATGTTCCTTTTAACACACATCATGCTAAGTTTATTAATGCAGAAAACAATCCCAGGGGGCCGACCCAGGGGACCCTTGAAACCTGCCAGCACAAACTCTTCAAACGCTCAGCCGGTCAGATCCTCCAGGACAATATTTCACACAATGGAGTAAAAATAATATTTTTCTTTGGACCTTTCCAGCCGCTTTTGTGGTGAGCAGACAGAAATTATTTTCTTACTCTGCTCCCAGAGCAGAAATCTGGACGAAGCTGCGTTTATTTGTTTAACACAATGATTTCATCCTAAATGTCTCGACAGCAAATAGTTGGTGGTTTAATAAAGGGCCTTTGAAAGGAGGCTGGAGCTGGGGAAATGTGAGGCATGCGGCTCGTGGGGGCGAGCAGGTCGTGGGCTGCTGAGACTGGGTGCCCCCTCCGCCTGCCTGGGAGCCCTGGGGGTCGTGGCGTGTTATTGCTCCCTGATCAGAACAATTTGTGCTGCTTCCATTCCTGAAAAAGGAAGGAGACTGGCCTTTCGGTCACGAATACCAGAACTTCCCCAGGACCCGCCCTGCCAAATACAGACAGACCTAACCCCAAAGCAGATACTTGAACCTGCATGAAAAAAAGAGGCCTGTTGTACTTATGTCTGCCTTCCCATGATTAAAAATTATGTCCTGTGTCAGCCAAATGTTGGCTGCTGTTCTGGTGCCAGCCTAGAGTTCTGCAGCCAGGACAGTGATTAGGAGAAGGGAGAGGGATCAGAGCCAGCTCAGGCCTGATTCCCCAGCGAGCAGAACCTACCCCACCAGGGCCAAAGACCCTGGAGCCTTCCAACCTGCAGTTAGAAGTGTCAACAAAAACTCAAAAAACTCATTTGCGTTTCACTTCTTTTCCTTGGGAAGAATTGTAAGGGTCAGTAAAATGGAAAAAACCAAACACAGAGGAAAAGAGCCAGGAGAAAGTCATGAGTGGCATAACAACTGCCCAGGTGGCCCTGATTGCAGCCCCATCATTTTACAGCACAGGAGGGAGGCCCAGAGAGGGGCAGTGACATGTCTGAAAGCACACAGCTATTAGAAGAAGAGCAATCGTGGGACAGGTATCTAACCTCCAGGGCTGAAGGGGAAAGAGCCCAATCTAGCCTTATAGCTGACAAAACCGAAAAGCTGAATTATAGGTCTCATTTTTTCAAATTGGGACTTGGTTCAAGGTGATTGAATGTGATTCAGTTCCTGGTGATTTTGGTTCTTGGAACAATTGATTCAGATCTAAATCAGTTCCTGGATAGAACAGTGAAGAATAGAATATGTTTACACAAACACACACACAGTTATATTTTCAATTATTCACTTATTCATTGAAGAGTATATAAACTATGCATATATATTAAAAAGACAATTAAAATGACATAGTATATTACTGGTAACATTGATACATCTCTTCTCAGTCTTTTCTTATCGCTTTTTTATTATACATATATATATTTTTCTTTTTTTTCACAAAATTAAGATCTCAACTGCTTTATTTTTTAAATTATGTAATTTATGCTTAAGCATTTTCCCCATCTCATTAACAGACTTTCTGGAGCATGACCTTTGAAATGCTACTTGGTATTTCATCATACGATGTGACAGTCATAATTCTTTTCCCCAGTACCCTAAAGCTGCTCATAGGACAGACTGTCTTTGAGTAGGTCTTGAAGAACAGTCACTGAAAGACTGATAGGCTGTGTGGGAGGTGGCCTTCAAATTCTTGCAGCGATTTAAATCTCTTTCCTTCACCTCCGAGTGGCTTCAGATTGCATTCAAATATAGCTGCCTGCCTCACTCCCAGCTCTCTTTTATCTTTCTCATTTCTTCTTTTTTCTACTTTTTTCCTAGACCCAAAACAGGTGGATTCCTTACATTTGCATATTTTACAACCTCAAAGACTTTTTATAGAAATGCACTCATTTAATCTTTATAAAAACCCTACAACATGGGCAAGGCAGAATTATCCCAATTTTATATGAAGGAAAGATGAAGCAGGCAAAAAAAAAAGAGGAAAAAAGAATGATCCCAATTGTACATTCAATGAATGTATTTTGAGCGCCAACTATCTGCACTTTGGTAGTCACTAAAGGAGGGGCATAAGTAAATCCATCTTTATCTCAAGGATTTTCAGAGTAGGGGGCACATAAGAATTTCAGTAGATGATGGCTATTATAATTTTTGGCAGAAATGACTTGCCTCCTGTCAGGTGGTTAGTTACTGGCTCAGGAAAGAGAACCAGCACATCCTCTGCTTTCTGTACTCGATTCCCTACACCGTGTGACTGTTAGTCAAGAGTAGGTCCAGAATAGGTGGGAGATGGTCAGGGCAGGTGCATGATGGGATACTGTTAGAATTCCCTCTTCTCCTTCATCTCAAGCTCCAGTGAAAAGACTTCACACTTGAGACACCAAATTATCCTGAGAGGAGCCAGTCCATGGATTGACACTTTCTTTGTGTTGGAGGTAGAGATGATAGTATTTGTCTTTTGATGAACAAACAGTGGTTTGGGATTTAGCTACTTCTACATCTGTGAAGGGATAAAAAAGGAGAAAGGAAATAAAAATTATTAATCATCTCCCATGTACCAGTCTCTGTACTAGGTGCTTTACATGTATTATTTCATTTAAATCAGAACTCACAAGAAGCCTGTTTTATTCATCATTGTGTTGCTTTGGACCTACTGCAATGTTTGCCACACAATAAGCATTGATTAAATGCCTAACTAATAAATGAATGCTCATTGTACAGATGGGAAAATTGAGATCTGAGAAGTTAGACAACCAGTACTAGGTTACATAGATGGTAAGTAACGGAATTGGGATTCAAATCTAGATTCATAATCTAGAGCCAGTCTGCCTGGCTCTAGAATTGTGCTTTTCCCACCACTGCATCCTTGGCAAGCAGTGTACATGCTTCAGTCTGTGGAGGGACTATTTGGTTATTATGGGTGTGGTGACAATCCAGTTCATCATGCAGGTAGTACCTTTGGGTTCATTGTTTCCTCTTTCTATAGTCCTTTTGCTATGAAGACAGCATTTACGGTTGTGTTTTGCTGTTTGGCTGTCCTCCTCTAAGCACTGGATGCATCTTCCTTATATCATCACTCGCACTGGGGTTCTGGCTCCTTTAGAGTGGAGAGTATGTTGTTTTCAGCACTGCAAGAGATATTTTTACATTCTCTTCAGAAATGTGGAGAGCTCTGGGCTGAGCATGGTGGCTCACCCCTGTAATTCCAACAATTTGGGAAGCTGAGGCGGGCAGATCACTTGAGGTCAGGAGTTCAAGACCAGCCTGGCCAACATGATGAAACCCCATCTCTACTAAAAATACAAAAATTAGCTGGGCTTAGTAGCATGCACCTGTAGTGCACCTCAGGAGGCAGAGGCAGGAGAATCACTTGAACCCGGGAGGTGGAGGTTGCAGTGAGCTGAGATCTCACCACTGCACTCCAGCCTGGGCAATAGAGCCAGACTCTGTCTAAAAGAAAAGAAAAAAAAGAAAATGTGAAGAACTCTGGTCTCCCTTTTTAGAAGGTAAAGCAAAGAATAAAGTCAGGTTTTGAAAATGTTCCCTCAAGATGTGCTTCTGTTGCATTACTAGAGACCCATTATGCAGGGATAAGAAGGTAGCTAAAGGAGCTGCCTCTTTAAATCTTAGATTGTCAGTGTTCTTATTTGGTTTGACTTCTTAGTCCTGGCCAGGGAGCTAATTGTTAGATCTTGAAGAAAAATCTCTTGCTAGCAAGACTACCTGCTTAATGCGTATATCTTTAAGCCCATTGCATAGACAATTGTAGAGATTCCCAAGGGGAATTTAGAATCCACATGCTTATGTTTCATGCATTTCCCAGATCTAACATTACATAAGATTTGGAAAACATTGTTTTATGATATAAAGTGAGAGCCAACTACTCTGAGGCTGACTACCATTTAACTTCTATTCGTTCTGAATAGTGAGATTTTTGCTGATAATAAACATATTGACATAAGAAAACAAAGATCTTTGACGGGTTATAGGCACTCTCTGGGAATATCTAGTTGATACTGAGAAGCCATGTCAGGACTGTTTGGGAAAGAAAATTGAAGAGTGTCAAGGAGAGTTGCTTTCAGCTCTGGCGGAGAACACTTTTAGTTGCTTTTTTATTCCCTTACCCCTACCCTGTCCCAAGACTCACACGCATTGCTCAAGTACACAGTGTGCTTGGACCAAACCAACACCAGCAAAGTATTTTCTGGACTGCTCCAGTGTGATTTGTCTTCATCACCCAAGTGTGAGTCTCACCCAAGCAGTCTTGCTGGGTGTTTTTTGTAAGGGAGGGAGGGCTTTTCCAAAACAGAAGGTTTTGTTTTGCAATTTACAAAAAGTAACAGGATCCTTTCTGAAATATTTGTTTTGAATCCCAGAATGTAACCTGACACTCCCAATCATCACTTTCACTTTATAAAACTTAGAGTGTATCTTGCGGGTTCATTATCTGTCCATTTCTAGCCTGAACCAAATCTAAGCTGTTCCATGGGGAGGTGCCCTAAGGAACATTTTTTCTGCCCACCTTTTGAGACTTGCAGTTTGTATTCCTGACATGTACATATATAAATGATGTAATTGATTTGAGATACTGAGCAGATCATTCTATAGCGCCTGGCCTAGAATAACTTACATTCTGATTCAAAGCAACCAGGCAACAGAGTGCTCCTAAAACCTCAAAGTGCTACTAAACATAATAAAGCCTCCTTTACTTATCATCAAATCATTTCAAGCTCAGGAATGACTTTTAATATCCTTTTTATGACATGTCGTATCTATCACAGGTCAAAAGGAGTTCCCAAACAAAACAGTAACATTGAGTGAAAACTTATATAAAGTCTCTCTCTATTAGAAAAGTTAGTTTTGGCTCCCAACCATTAGCATTTATGGGTTCCTATAAAGTCATGACTGTTTCTTAGCAGTAGGATTTTCCAAGCCTTGCAATGAAATTCTTAGTTATACTTGTATTTAAAATGTAGAATGAGTAACTTTGTCTTCTGGGAAGATGTAGTAGACATACTTTTTGGTATTCCTGCCACCAAATACTAAAAACCCTGGACATTATATAAACTAGCAGAAGAAAACTCTAAAAGATAGAGAAAAGGAGGTGGACCAGCTAGGGACATCATGACCCAAGGGATGAGATGGAGGTGAGTTCCCTGGAATTTATTTTTGCCTCATGTATACTGGATTTGGAGCCGAGGAGGTTAGCAACCCAGAAATTCCTGTGGGTGCAGACATTAAAAATCCCAAGGAAGCTTGCTGTCTCTAGTCAAAGGAAAGAAAAGGTGCAGCTTGGCAAAGCAGAAAACTTTTATAATAACCATTTTATTCCAAGTAAACACCACAGGAAAACTGTGACCTTATCCTACATGCCTGCAAAGGCCTAGACTTCCACCATCACAATGCTGTAATGAAGCAGCCTAAGTCTCCACCATGATGGAATCAGAGAAGGCCGCATAAGGAGCCAAGACTTTTATCTCCACCTCATTGATAATAAGACCCTCCCTACCCCTGTAATGTCAGTGGAAACTACATGAGGAGCCTAAGCTTTTACTCTCACTCAACAGTAACAAGGCTCTTTCCCACTGGGATAGTGTCAGAGAAAAAAGTAGAAGTAACTATATTAATTGCAGATAAAGTAGACTACAAAGCAAAGAAAATTACCAGAGAATGACATTATATAATGACAAAAGGGTCAATACATGAAGAAGACATAGAAATCTTAAATATATATGCTCTAAGTAACTGAGTTGCAAACTCTGTGACACCAACATTGATAGAAATGAAAGGAGAAGTAGGGAAATCCACAATATAGTTGTAGACTTCAACACTCCTTAACAATTGGTAGAACACTAAACAGAAAATTAACAAAAATATAGGAGAACTAAACAATGCTGTCAACCAACAGGCTCTAATTGACATTTATAGAACACTTCACTCAACAACAGTGGAATACGCATTCTTTTCAAGTGCCCACAGTACACATAGCAAGATAGAGCATATTTGAGCCGTGAGACAAACTCCAACAAGTTATAAGAATTTAAGTCATACGGAATGTGCTTTCCGACCACAAGGGAACCAAACTAGAAATCAATAACAGAAAGATAACAGGAAACCTTTAAATACTTGGGAAATGACAACTAAATAATCTATTGCTCTAAGAGGAAGTCTTGAAAATAAATGTGAAACTGAATGAACATGAAAATACATATCAAAATCTGTGGGACACAGTAAAGCAATACTAAGAAAAAATTTACGGCATTACATACATCCATAAAAAGGAGGATTATTAAAAAATAATCTAAGTTCACATCTCAACAACTTAGAAAATGAAAAACAAAATAAACCCAAAGTAAACAGAAGAGAAAAAATAGTAAAGATAGAGAGGAAATCCATGAAATTAGAAATATAAAAACAATAAAGAAAATCAATGAAACAAAGAGATGTTTTATTGAAAAGATCAATAAAATTGATAAAACTCTAACAAGACTCACAAAGAGAAAACCAAATTACCAATATTAATGTTTCATTCCAGATGAGGATATCACTATGGGTCCTGTAGACATCAAAAGGAGAATAAGGGCATACCATGACAACTCTATAGGACTTACATGCTAAAATGCAGAGTGATCTATGAAACATGAAGTTAAGGACACTTGGACATCATTATGCCCTTATAGTAAGAGCCTACACCTGAGTTTGAAACTTGGCGTGCCATTAGCTGTGAGATTTTAGCAAATTAATCATAACTCTCTACCTCATAGGGTTGTCTTGTGAACAAAAAATAATGTGCCGGGCTCAATGACTCACACCTGTAATCCCAGCACGTTGGAAGGCCGAGGCGGGTGGATCACGAGGTCAGGAGTTCGAGACCAACCTGGCCAATATGGTGAAACCCTGTCTGTACTAAAAATACAAAAATTAGTAGGATGTGGTGGGTGTGTGCCTGTAGTCCCAGCTACTCAGGGGACTGAGGCAGAAGAATTGCTTGAACCCAGGAGGCAGAGGTTGCAGTGAGCCGGGATTGTGCCACTGTCCTCCAGCCTGGGTGATAGAGCAAGACTCTTGTCTTAAAAATAAATAAATAAATAAAGAGCAGATGATGTGCTCTTAATTCCTGGAAGAGGAAAGTGCTATCCCTTTGTTGATTGTGTTCAGCTCACGACCACATATGTTACTTTAGCTAAAGTTCACACAAATGCAGTGTGCTGGTTTTTTGTCTGTTTTCTAACTTAAACAGAAGCTTGTTTAGGGAAGTAACTAAATATATTTTTCATCTATCTATCCAAAATGCCTAATACAGTGCCTACTATATAGTAGGTTCTCATTAAATGTTTACTGAATAAATAGGAACATGGCTTTTATAAGAAAAAAATTAAAATCTTAAAGGGTTTGACCAGCAGTGTATTTAGTGCAGTGATTTTCACTATAATGTGGATTCTTCAGTATCACTGGCAAGAGGTGGGCATCTGGCCTCCACTCAAACACTTGTATAAATCCCAAGACTACAAGATATTTCAATGTATTGCTGTATTATCCCCAATTACTGAAAATTTCTTCCATATATTGAGCTTGTCTGTTTTTCTGTAACTTTTACCATATGGTGCTAAATCTGCTCCCTGGGATAGTGTATTACTTATCTATGTTGCTTAACAAATTGCCCCAAACATAGTGATTTAAAACAACCATAACACACTTATTATCTCTCACAGTTTCTATGGTTCAGGAAGTCAGGAGAAGCTTTGCTGGGTTATTCTGGTCTGGGATTTCTCATGAGGTTGCAGTCAAGATGGCCCAGGCTGCAGTCAGCTAAGGGTTTTGGTTGGAACCGGAAGATCCTCTTTCAAGGTGGCTCACTCACTTAGTTTGAAAGTTGATGCTGGCTGTTGCTGGGAGGGTTGTTACTCTCCACACGGGGCTTTTCTACAGGCTTCTTGAGAATCTAGAATGTGGTAGCTGTCTTCCCATGAATGAGTTATCCAAGAGAGAGAAGAAGGCATAAGAGACAATGTCTTGATCTAGCTGGAAATGACAAGCCATTACTTCTGCCACATTTTGTTCATTGAAATGATTCACCAAGTCCAGCCCACATCCAAGGGGAGGGGAATTAAGCTTCATCTTTTGAAAG